TAATAGAACTAACCAAACACAAAAATGCGTCCTTCATGAACCGTAACTCCATGAGCGCTGCGGCAGTGCTGCATGGAAGCTCTGGGCTCCCAGATGTTTTTGGCGATGTTGTATCGTTCCATCGTGCACAGCTGGTTCATCCCATCATAGCCTCCGATGGCGTACAGGTAACAGTTCATGCATACCAAACCTGCAAAACCCAACAAAGAAAAAAGGAAATTAATGACAAAAAYCCATATTTGATTTAATCAGATACAATAAACATGTATTAACAAGAAACTTGAACCCTTATCCATCTTAACTTGACACAAAGAGAATTGTTTCAGCTAGTTTGTGTCTGATGATTCACAGAGTTCAAATGTTAGAAACACGACAACACGACAGATCGTTTGTGAGCACAAGCATGACAAAGCTCCACATAAGCACATGTGTCTACAGCTGGCTCTCATGCGGKGCTGACTCACCCAGTCCACTGCGAATCGTGTTCATGGGAGCCAGTTGTTGCCAAGTGTTGGTGTCAGGCTGGTACTTCTCCGCTGTGTTCCAGCGATTCTGTCCATCGTATCCCCCCACCACGTACAGAGACCCTCGACATGCCGCCACACCGGCTCCCAGCCGGGCCACCGACATGGGGCAGACAAAGGACCAGCGACTGGACTCTGGATCCCACCTGAGAAACAAGCACCAGTCAGTAGGCTGACAGCTTTCAATGACTCTACACATCTGTTAAAAGAAACAAACTGAAATACCAGCTCTGGAGTAGGGCTGGGCCATATCATAGCATTCATGATAATATTGGTAAAAAAAAAAAAACTTGCCCGGGAAAATAAATGATATCATGATATGTTCATTTCATGTCCGACGTCATTTTGCCCATGTCGGAGACCCTGCTTGTTTTCTGCTGTCTCGTTAAAGCCACTCAGTCTGATACAGGTTTAAACAGATGCTTTCAACAAATCAAAAGAACCGCACAGCTTTATCCAATCAGAGCAGAGCAGGGCGGGTCTTCCTGATGTCGGCGCAGCAGTCAGGATAAACACCGGTCAGCCTGCAGCTCCTGTCCTGAGTGAACAAACCCCGTCCTCCACACGTCACTCCAGAGCTACCCGAGACGCTGGTATCTAAAATCTAACACACGATAAGTTCATGTGTTCAGAGCTTCGTTATCTAACAGATTATGTCCAACTTTGCTCGCGTAACCAAACTCCTCACCTCGACAGCGCTGTTACGGGAGCGAGGCGAGGTGCACACATGCTGAGTTGTCCTGAGAGAGCTGCTGTTTCAGCTCTTCCAAAATATTAACTTAGATGAACACTTTGCCCCAGTATAAATAGACGAGTCTCCTCTTAGCGTAACTCCCCCACCCCGCAAAAACAAAAAACGTTTTGTTCTATTTGTAGCTTATTTTTTGTAGTTTATCTTATATTTCGAACCATACTGTGACTGAACTGTGATTCAATACGTGATCAAATATAAAGAATAGATAGTATTAAATGATGACATGAGCTCTCTAAATATCTTTTTGAAAGAAATTGTTATTTTAATAGAGGAATCAGTCAGTCTAACAAATGAAAACGTAGTTATTTTGTGAAGTACCAAAGACATATTTGGTATATTTTTTAAAATATAAAGTTATAGTACATTCTAGTAATGTGTTTGCACTGAAAGGTTATGGAGATGATTAAATATTTGTATGACTATATTTGACAAGTCTTGCCAAAAATGTTTTTAATTAAATATATTAAAAACCATAAAATGACAAATATAAACTACAGAAAAGCTGTTCAAAATCAAAGTCTTCCTTACAAATCCCTTTGGTCCAAATGGTTCAGGTTTAAATTTTTCTATAATGTTTCATTAAACTGTGTACTTCGACTGAGAACATGGACACAGTGTTTAGTGCTATGACTATACTATACCGTGTACCTGTGTATGGCGGGGGTGGCAAGAGTTATTGTACATTTATCGTTATCGAGGTGAACTGGTCAATATATCGTGATTAGGGCTGCAACGATTAATCGACGACTAATCAATTATTAAAATAATCGATGACTAATTTAATAATCGATTAATTGTTTTCTTTTTTTTGTTCTTTACTTTGTTTTTCTCTCCAAACTGCTTTGACACCTTCCACTGCCACATCTGCCTTTCTGTCCTTGACACACATGCACAGTAGTGGTAACTGGGGTAGGCCGTGGACGTCACAACACAGCAGCAGCTCTCTTTTAGTCGTCTCGTTCGGCTTGGGACATTTCTCCTCTCAGTAGGATTTTTTACAGCACACGCAATTTCATGTTAGCTTCTTAGCCTAGCCTCTTCCACAGCAACATACGTCGCGGCCAACCGATCCAATCATTTTAAACTTCAGCAGAGGCCACGCCTCCAGCAAGAATCACTGCCCTATAGCAG